CCCAGTCTACTCAGTCTCTCCTCATAATCCAACCCTCTCAACTCTGGAATCAACCGAGTCAATCTCCTCTGCACCCCCTCCAGTGCTAGTATACATCTTCTCAAGTAAGGAGACCAAAACTGCACACAGTACTCCAGGTGTGGCCTCACCAGGACTCTATACAGCTGCAGCATAGCCTCCCTGTTTTTAAACTCCATCCCTCTCGCAATGGCAGACAAAATTCCATTTGCCTTTTTAATTACCTGCTGCACCTGCAATCCTACTTTTAGCGATTCATGCACAAGGACACCCAAGTCCCTCTGCACAGCAGCGTGCTGCAATTTTTTACCATTTAAAACATAGTCCATTTGCTGTCATTCCTACCAAAATGGATGACCTCACACTTATCAACATTGTACTCCATATATATCGGTTCATATATATAGGTTATAAAGTCTACAAGATAGATGAGGAAAATGGGTGAGGAACAGGAGTAGTGTCAGTCATTTAAGGACAAAATCACTTAAATGATACGAGAGGATAATAGAAGATTAACAGTGGTGATTCTGTGTTTGTTTCATATTTTCAGAATTTTGCTTTTAAACCATGGAGGCCATATGGGTAGAATTCGTAATTGGAAAAGGATTTGAGACTTTGCATGGAAGTTGTATATCAATCACCTGATATCAGCTGTGAAGTTATATGTTGTTTACCTAGAACAGGGTAAACGCAGGAAGGATGTTCCCAATGTCTGCGGAGTCCAGAACCAGGAGTCACAATTTAAACATACCAGGGTAGGAAATTTAGGACTGGGGTGAGGAGAAATTTCTTTACCCAGAGAATTGAGAGCCCTGTGAAATTCTCTGCCTTTGAAAGTGGTAGAAGCCAAAACATTGAATGTTTTCAAGAAGGAATTGGAATTAATTCTTGGGGCTAAAGGATCAAAGATTATGGGGAGAAAACAGGAGCAAGGTACTGAGATGGATGATCAACAGTAATCTATTGAATGATGGAACATCTTGAAGGGCTAAATGGCATACTCCTATTTTCTAGAATCCTAGTGATTGGATTGTGCTCCACCAACCTGATGTCACAAAATCCTGGGTAGAGAATCGAGGATTCTAGTTCTAGATCCTGATTGGAGATGACATCCCTGACTCCTGATCATGCTTGTAATTATGTCCTAGTAACCAATGTAAATTGCACCTCATGCAATAAACTACATATTGTCATTATGACACATAATTCTTCTTGTGAAGACTCCCATGTGGTTCATCCTCTACCACTGTTAACCAAGCAGGCTCTTAGACCTAATATAGACACAAAGATTGGTGACAGCACCCAGACTCAACCACAAAATACAATGGTCTGTTCAACAAATGCTGGATACTATTCCTTCAATAGCATGTAATGATGGGCAATAAATGCTGGTCTGGTCAATAATGTCCATATCCCATGAAGAATAAAAAACACGTCCTAGAACTATCGTAAGATCGGATTGGCACTCAGGTAAGTACCACTAACAAGCTTTATTCAGTATAACATTATCTACATAAGAGAGAGTAGGAGAGAACTACACTGAGACCAAACAGTGGGTTTTTGTTCCATCTTGTTCTGACAACATTGTAACATTACAGATGACATAGTCCCTAATTACGTAGTATCCCATCAAATTACACAACCTAACCAGGGATGTGCCACTTTAGATTCAGGTATGAGTAAATGTGCCAGATTTAGTTAACAGCCGAATGGCGAGTGATTGTTTACTTAATAACGAGCATAATATGATCAAGTTCAGCATCTTTTTGAACAAGAAATGCAAAATAGCTGTAAGATCCTAAGTTTGTGTAAAGTTAGCTTTAATGCCATGAGACAGAGATTGTCTATCTGCAGTAAACTTGGAAGACTGTGAATGGGCTAAAAAAACCCACCAATTTAATGTGATACATAACCAATTTAAACTTCTAAGGGACAAGAGCTATGCATGAAAATAAATGCCAAGAATGACTAATAATGTAACAGGCAGCATAAAACAAAATATACAAAAATGCAGAAATGATTACAGGTCCTGGTTAATGGGAGAGATTCAAAGAATCACAAAGGCTGACAAAATAGATTGTAAAAACTGATAAATAAAAAGGACTATGAAAGAAAATTGAATGTTATCAAAAATGTTCACAATTGCATTAGGAAGAATGCACTAACCAGGAGCTAAAGCAAAATATTGCAGATGCTGGAAGTCTGAAATTAAAGCAGAAAATTCTGGAAATGCAATGCAGATCAGGCAACATCGGAACTATTGCAATCAGGAGTAATGTGAATACCTTGACAATACCAGCATTCAATTTTCAAAGAAAGTAAGTAAGTGGCAGAGATGTTGATTTAATCACTTTGCTATGATATTTATAGTAGAGGGAGAGGTTAGTATGCCTGAAATTCCAAGGAAACAAACATTAAATCAGAAGCAAGAATTCCCCAAAATTAATGTAAACAAGACAACAGTAATAAGGGGAATAATGGCACCAGAGAATGACAAATCCTTAGAACCAGATAGTTTACAATTTTGAAGAAAAAATGTCAGAATATTGCAAATTCCAGAACTATTCTAAACTTTTCTCAATTTGAGAACTCTTGATTTAGATTGGAAATTTTTGCATGGCTCTCAGCTGCTTAAGATAAGTGAGAAAGGAATAACAGGGAGTTATAGATCTCTTGGCACGAGAATGGTTGTCAGAAAATTACTAGAGTCAAGAATGAAGAATCACATGTCTAAAGAAATAGCAATATTATATTTCCATCATTTATAAAGAGATAGTGAATGAGCAAAAACATGAGAGATGAACTTCAATGTAGACAATGTAGACAAATGTGATGTGGGAGAATCGAGGACCAGAGAGCATAATCTCAGAATAAGGGGCTGCCCATTTAAGACAAGATGAAGAGGAACTTCTTCTTTTGGAGGGTGTTGAATCTGTGGAATTCTTTACTGCAGAAAGCTGTTGAGGTTGGGCCATTGAGTGTACTTATAGTGAGATAAGACAGATTTTTAATCAATAAGGCACTTGGCGGTAAAGGGGGGAAAAGGCAGGAAAGTGGAGTTGAGGATTATCAGACCAACCATTGAATAGTGGAGCATATTCGATGGGCTGAATGACCTAGTCTACTCCGATATCTTATAGTCTTATAGATCTATAAAGGATAGAACAAAATATTTTCTAAATAGTGAATGTCTAGAAATATGTACAGTTCCTGAGAGACGTGGGAGTCCAGGTAAATGAACTGTTAAATGTCATGAACAGGTGCAGAAAATAATAAAAAGCCTGATGGAATTGTGACCATTGAATCTACAGAACAAGATACGAGGTGTTACAAATTTATACTACAGCTATCCAAAACCCCGGTTAGAAAGCACGTGGAGTACTATGGTAGTTCTGAACTCTATACAACCATAATGGCATACTAATCTATGTGGGATTACAGATTTGCCACAATATCTAGACTTCAAGGTTAAAACATGAGATGACATTGCATAAATTGGGGTTGTATTTCCTGATCTTTATAAGCTTGAGGTTTGATTGAAGTTTTCAAGAGATCAAAGTGAACAGAGGCTAATGACTGTTATCATAGAATCCCAACAGTGTGGAACAGGCCCTTCGGCCCAACAAGTCCACACTGAACCTCAGAGCATCCCACCCATACCCATCCGCCTATAACCCACCTAATCTACACATCCCTGAACACTACTGGCAATTTAGCATGGCCAATCAACCTAACCCGCACCTCTTTGGACTGTGGGAGGAAACCGGAGCACCCAGAGGAAACCCACGCAGACACGGGGAGAATGTGCAAACTCCACACAGACAGGCAACCGAGGCTGGAATCAAACCCAGGTCCCTGGCGCTGTGAGGCAGCAGTGCTAACCGCTGTGTCACCGTGCCGCATAGAGAGAAAATATTACTGCTGATTGGGGAATGTGGAGTTAGAGGTATGGTCCAAAAATTAGATCCCCCTTTTAAAGATTAAAATTAGGAAGGGCAGTCAGAGTCTGGAACTCTCTTGCGATTGCCAAATTGATGTCAGCTCAATTGTAGATTTTAAACCTGAGATTGACAGATTTTTGTTAACTATGGTTATAAAAGGATATGGAGCAAAAACAGTATGTGGACTTAGGTTGTGGATCAACTACAATCTTGCTAAGTAGTGGAAGAAGAACAAGGGACTAATCGTCAGCATCTGCTCCAATTTTTCTATCTTTCCAGTCTTTGACAGTTTCTAACCTTGATTGCAAGTGATAGGTCCCTTGGAGATTACTCTCATTTATTTTTCTTTCCAAGATTTAACATGCAGTTGAGCTCCTACTTTAAGACCACAGTCACTGCTCTTGAGAGTTTAAGTAATGGAAAAGTACTTAGAATCATAGAACCTTGCAGTGCAGATAGAGACCATTTGACCTATTGAGTCTGCACCAACCTTCTGAAGAGCATTTCCCTCCCCCCATCTTATCCCCATAACCTTGCATTTACTATTGCTAACCCATCGAGCCTGCTCAACCCTACACACTACGGAGCAATTTAGCATGGCCAGTCCCCCTAACCTGCATATCTTTGGACTGTAGCCAAGCCTCGTGATTCTTGAATTTTACTTCTTATTTGTAAGCAATGAATGCATTGCATTAGATCCTTAAGTTTAAAGGAATGCTTTTTCATCAGGAGCATCATACCATTGGGGTGTTCTTTGTAGGTGCTGCCCACCAGTTTAGGCTTTCTAGAAAATACTGTTGGAGTATAGAATGTATGCCTTAGTTCCCTGGGAGCCAAACATAGTGAGGATGATATAGTAGGTATTATGTGCAATACTTCCACAACAAACTGCTATAAGTTGGAAAATAATTTTGTAATATGGAATTTTTTATTAAATCAATGCAATAGCATGCTATTATGAAAAGAATGGGGTATTACTTAGATTGCTACTTTTCACTGAATGTACAGAGTACTGTGACAATAAATCTAATTCAATTTGATTCAATTGTTATGGATGTTTATAAATGTTGCAATGCCAACTAAAATATGATGTTAAGTAAAAGAGTCCTCATCTCCTTTCTTGGTCTTAAATGCTCATACCAATATCAAAAAACACGTCTGTTAATATGCATGAGTCTATTATTACTGGTGCAGAACAACACTGGTTGATTTATTGATTATACACTGGACTGATTTATCTCCAAAGAGCTAGTGTTATTTGATGCCAAATGGAGGGTTTAGGTCCAAGACAACAAGAAAGACCTATAGTGACCAACTATAATTGTGTTGGATATTATATTGATAAGTCTTCACAACATTCATTCATAGAAACAAGTGCAAGTGCTTTCATCTGAAATATAAGTCAGCACACTAGCAATGATGTGCGTGTTTTGCCTTTAGGACAAACCATTGGAATATTTAATTCATAGGTTTGAGTGCAACTAATTCATAGATCATAAAAATGAAGAGACGTTGCGAGACATCCAATACATACCCATGCTTTGGCTTATAAAAACAATTACAAATTCCATTCTCACAATATATCCCACATTCATCTGAAACTCAATCACATGAACCTGAAAAATTATTGAATGTGTATAATCATAAAGAAGGGCAGGCAGAAATAGACTATAGTGAATGCAACAGTATTAAGATGAAATCTTTTGCACAAGTCATCAGTCAGGTAATGTTCTATTTTGATGTTATATATATTTAAATTATGTACTAACGTAATTTACATTACAATGGTCAATCAGAGAAATTAAAATAGTTATTTGTCATTTTTGGTGCAATGAACAGTGACATCTAGGTTTGAACTTATCACTAAAGCTGAAACTTAATTGTAACCTTAAAGTCATAATAAATAAATTATGCAAAATAGTATTTCGAATATTCAGAAGTTGTAATTTGGCAGATCATTTTGACAAATCAAGTTGGATTAAAAATATTTCAAAACATTACTGCATACTGTTGTGCGGGGTCATTTTAAAGAAAATCTTAATTTTAACTGACACCTGAGACTAATGGATTTTATAAGTCTATCCCTTGGCATTTATATTAAACCCAGTTATTCTGATCCAATATCGTAGCTGTCAGATTAAAGCTGTGACATTGAGATAATTGCTCCTTCAGAAGAACTGCAATACAATAAACATGAATTGAAACAACAGTAAATCTTACCCGGTTTTTCAAAAACTGAAATGCAGAACATTTGGTGACAGAAAAGCCAGCTATTGTCCTGTTTTTCATCTTCAGAATCCTGCAATGAAGCAGCACTCCGGGTCCAGCAGCTTGCTAAATCTGCTTAGTCAGTACATCTGCTTTTCTCCATTCTCCACACTAACAGTGATTTGTGAAATGAAGAGAAAGTGCTCAGCAGTTGATAACCGTGGGACTCCCTGAAGCCCAGGTGATGTTTTTGTCTCTTCTCAGCTGTATTGCATCAGTCTCTCATTCCACTCTTCAGTCCCAATGTGATAACCTGTTAAGTCGCAGCACCGAGTTCATTTATGAAATAAAAAATCACTATGCATTTGGGTATGTGCCAGAAAAGTGGTTTTAATCGCCTCAGTTTTAGCAGTCTGTGCAAATGACGGCAGTTCGGGCTTTCTTGACAGCACTACAGCATTGCTTATCTCATTGTGCTGTGCTCGTACTGATGATACAGCTCCTCTGTCTCCCTCAGAGGCATCCTGCGAGCCTCAGAGGCGAATGGAAGCAAAAACAACAATGAGCTGGCAAAGAAGCAGCATAACAAGAGCATCATTAGTGGAAAATTCTGGGAAATGGTATCAGATTCGGTCAAACAGTGTTTGTAATCTGTCAGGGATGTTTTCTAATGGCCCTTTCATTGAGCAGTGTCCCTATTGTTCCTTTGAGAAATGTAGTGCCGGCATATGCTTACCATTTCTTTGAGCAGAGGGATAGTTTTAGCTGGAGGTATCATAAATAGCCTGCCTCTTCTTATTACAAACGCATGATGACCAGATATATTTTGTCTTTATTACAACCACAACTCTATTTCATACATTGTGTGTTTATACATTCACAGCACCAAATCTTACATTTCTGAAAGAAAAAATGATTTTCAGACAATTATTATAATACTGCAGTAATTATTAGCACTGCTTCAGTGAAATCAGTTGTTTTGAAAAGATGTATACAATAATTATCAACTAGAGTTTAAAATTAAGCATGCGCAATTTTTTGGGATAGTGTGCATTTTTATTGGAAAAGAAATAAGTTTTGTCATAAAATAAAAGCCAAGATTAGCTGAATATCTCTAGTTAGGGCATGATCAGTTCACAACTAAATCACTACTATAAGGTTCAGACTTGGGCATGAGATTCCTGAGCCAGCGCATCCTAGCCCTCCATGAGAAGTGGGTATCTGTTACAAGACCAAAATTAATCATCCATCCCCAACTGCCTTGGAGTGTCCAGAAATTTGACTCAGTAACAATGAGAGAACTGTAATATTGTTCCCAACTCAGATCAATGTGTGACTTGGAAGAGACTTGCAGTGATGGTGTTCCCCTGCTGCTGTTGGCTTCCGAGATGATAGAGCTTGTCCATTTGGAAGGTGCTGCTGAAGAAACATTGGCGAGCTTCTTCAACTTGTGGGTGCAAAACACAATTGACAGTGTACATTGGTGTGGAAGACTGTGAATGTTGAAGCAGGTGGTTGGGGTGTCAACCAGGCTGTTTAGTCCTAAGCCTTGAGCATTGTTGGAGCTGCAGTTATCCAGGCAAATGGACAGTATTCAATTAAACTGTTGATTTGTGCCTTTGTAGATGGTAGACAGACTTTGGAAATTAGAATAAAAACCAAAAGAACTGCGGATGCTGTAAATCAGGAACAAAAATAAAGTTGCTGGAAAAGCTCAGCAGGTGTGGCAGCATCTGTGAAGGAAAAAACAGAATTAACGTTTCTGGTCCGGTTCTGAGGAAGGGTCACCCGAAACATTAACTCCGTTTTCTCCTTCACAGATGCTGCCAGACCTACTGAGCTTTTCCAGCAACTTTGTTTTTGTTTGGAAATTAGAAAACGAGTTGCTCTCTAAAGAATTCCTAGCTTTTGATCTGCTCTTGTAAGTCACAATATCTGTGGCTGGTCCAGTTAAGTTTCAGATTATTGGTAACACATGTATTGCTTGTGGGGAATTCAATGACGGTAATGCCGTTAAATGTCATGGAGAGGTGCTTAGACATACTTTTTTTTGCATTTGGTTATTGATGGCACTTGTGTAGCACAGTTGTCACTTGTCATGTTTCAGCTTAAACCTGCACATAGTTCACGTCTTGTTGCATTTAGACATTGACTGTTTCAACATCTGAGGAGTTGTAAATGGTGCTGGACACTGCGCAATGGTTTGTAAACATGCCTACTTCTGACCTTATGACAGAGGCAATATAACTGAAGCAACTGAAGATGATTGGGCCTGGAACACCACTCTGAGGAACTCCTGCAGTCATGTCCTGGAGCTAAAATGAATGGCCTTCAACAACCACAACTATATTCCTTTCTATTATGAATGATTCCAAATAGTAAAAAGGTTCTCCCTCTGATTCCCATTGACTTCAATTTTCTAAGACTTTTGGGATTCCATCTTTGGTCAAATGCAGCCTTGATGGCAGGGGCAATCACTTTTAGCTTACCTACGGAATTCAACACTTTTTGTCCATGTTTAGATCGAAGCTATAGTGAGGCCTGTAAGTTGGCTGTGCATGGCTGAATTAAGCATCAGTGAAAACGGTTACTGCTAAGCAAGAGCTGCGTAATAGCACAGTCAATGACAGAGGGTAGGTAGCCATAATTTCCTGGATTGAATATGCCCTGCTTTTTGCATGGAGAATGCATAGCTGGGCAATTTTCCACATTGACAGTGTTGTCACTATATTGGAAGGGCATGTTCAGGAACATGGCTATTTATGGATCACATGCCCTCAGCATTTGTAGACACTTGCTGTATCAGTGTGCTCAGCTTTTTCTTTTGATGTATCATGTGGAGCAAATTGAGTTGGTTGATATTAGTGGATGCCGAGATAGGCCATCAACTCAACACTACTGGCTGAGTTTGGCTGTGAACAGTTCATGCTTGTCTTTTGCACTGATGTGCTGAGGTCTTCCATCAATGAGAATGGGGTAATTGTGGAGTGGCCTCAACCACTGAGTTGTTTAATTGTACACCACCATTCATGGATGGATGAAGTGGGTAAACATAAAGACACATGACCATGAAGATGTTATTTGTTTGATTGTAAAAGACTCTCCAGAATGCAAGAATGTCAAAATTGGCCTTCTGTACATTCCTGGACAGACACTTTGAGAATCTTCTGGTCCTATCTTAGCCTTCAGCTGAAGACAAATTCAGTCGTACTTCGATATCTTTCCATTGTCCCTAAAAAAGCAGCATAGATTCACTGCGTGAACAGAATTCCTCTGGCTATCATCCTTTGAACGCTCCCCTTATCATGATTTCCAATACACCATGGGAACATTAAGTATACAGGACAGGAACAGATAATTCAATCCATTTGACCAGTGACAAAGTACAAAACAGAAATTACAGTGTATCCCTCAAATGATTTTCTAACAAAATAACTGTTTAACATTTTGAAATTACTGATGTTAACAACCTTGACTATCTCTTCAGCAAGGTTGCTCCAAATATTTATAATCCTACACACGAAGCAATGATATCTGATTTGATTCTTCACCTCTTATGAGCTTCATCCCAAGCTACCTTCTCATTGCCCTTTGTCATGAATGCTGGAGTGTTTCCAATGACCATCATCTCAAAATGGCAGAGTTTTGCAGGTCTAAATGCAGCCATAATTTCTTTCTTTCACATTATTAAAAAGAAACGCATAATCAAAGATTTTTTGTCCTGTAGTCATCAGAACTGACGAATTGAGTCCTAAAACTGTGTGTTTATGATCGATGCACAAGAGTGATCATTCAAATAAGGTAGTGTTGAAATCTTCTTCTACACTCTTTGGGTGTGCAGAATTCAAAATGTCCTGGATTTGGAAGGTGAGAGAGGGGAGTATGGTGTGGGGTGAGGGAAGAAGACATATTTTCCAATTCCATGGAAGAAATGTATGTTCTATGAGGAACTAGCATTCTATTTTGAGTATATTTTTCTTCTCTGCACAGTAGATGGATGTTCACAGTTTCAGACAGCTCCATTAGCAAATTTCCTATAGTGAAGTCGAACAGAACATTAGGCAGACCAGCGTAATTATAATAGTTCTCAAGTAGCCTCCTGAAAATCAAGGAAGTGAAATGCAAGAAAAAAGTAGAAACATAACACATCTTTTTCTTTTAGACAAGTACCAAGTCCATATTTTAATTTCCTAAAGTCATCTTCCATATGCAGTCATGAGTATACATTGCTGTTCCATTTTTTTCTTTTTTGCGACGTAGTTTCTGAAGACATGTAGTTAATATTTTCAGTCTTACTATTTTTTAAATCCTGGGTTTATGAGTGTTTTTCAGGGTATGGAAGACAGACTATAGAGATTCTAACTGCCAGCACATCATCTCCTTACCTAAGAATTTTTGTTTGCAGTTTATCTGAGAACGTAGGTTAAACCTGATACCCAGTGAATCCAGACATGGAATTGAATGGCTGTGTTTTCTCTTTGTACCTTAAAGCAGTTCTTCAAACACAGCTTATCAACACAAACATCAATAATAACCAAACATCCTTAAAGTATTCTAATCTGTGTTCCATCTGTCGCCAGGAGCAAACAGAGTTTTGAACTTTCATATCCACTATCAGCTGCAGGGAATCAGGACTGAAGGGAGCTTAATCAACCTCAGATATTAGAATCATCAGTAGCTGCACAGAATTTGTTATGTATATGTAACATATCAATTCACGACAAATCTTCTCTTAATGTCACCTAACAACAGGAAGAAAAAGGCAGTTGAATACAGTTTAACATTGTGTCAGCTTCTGGGCTGATGCGGTCTTCCATAAACAGATATATACTCATTGGAAACAATCTGGCAATACTACCCCCACACCCTGTTCTCCACCCTCACCCCTAACCCCCATCCTCACCTAACTTGTAACAATAAGTCGATTTTAGTGCATGCTGAAGCAGACTGCACCAACAGAGTAGATTGCTTTCCAGTAACATTCAATATGTGATTATATATGCAGCAGCAAGGTGGGTATCAATAGTGCTATAAGATTTATATTATACAGAAAATCCATTGTAAGCACAGAGCAGGCTTTGTGGAACCCAGCAGAAACCAGAATGCCCAATGGGTGCAGCCTACTTCAACTATTTATTGATTCTTCCTCATTATTAACAGCACCAATGCTTTTTTCTAATAGAGCTACTGTCAGAGTACTCAGATGAAACCAAAATAGACACATG